ACTCCATCAGGTATCCTATATTTTTTCCTTAGGACTTGAGCCCAAAGAAAGTCGGGCTGGGTTGCTAGACGCCACCACCACTTGCCTAATAGGGTGAGGTTATGTTTTCGGAGAATCTTGATTCCTAGACCTCCCTGGTTTTTAGGAAGACAAATGTTATCCCATGCAACTAGGTGAAATTTTGTCTTCTCAGCTTGCCTCGACCATAAGAAATTTCTCATGAGTTGGTCCAAACGGTTAGCCACTTGAGCTGGCATATGAAAGAGGGACATGAGATAAACTGAGGGTTTTGATAAGGTGGCTTTAATCAGGGTCGACCTCCCTGCCACAGAGAGGAGTCTACCTTTCCAATTGGCAAGCGTCTGTCTACCCTATCTAAGACCTGGGACCATTGTCTCTTTTTGGGTTTTCCAAGTCCAAGGGGGAGACCTAAACAAGTAGTAGGAAGATCCTCCACTTTACATTCCCAGTTTGGAATTAGCGCTCTAATCTCAACATTTGAAATTGCTACTCCCATTATTTTTTATTTTTCCATGTTGACTTTGAAACATGTTGCTGCTTGGAAGCAATTGAGGTAAAGATTAAGTGTATCCACTTCATTTGAGGTAGCGTCCAAGAACACCAAAGAGTCATCCACATACCGCAGATGGGACACTGTTGGGCCATGTCTACTGCTCCTGAATCCAGAGAGTAGTCCTGCCTGGAACACCCGAGAAATAGAACGACTAAAAACTTCCGCAGCTATTGCGAACAAGAAGGGAGAGAGAGGGTCACCCTGGTGGAGACCCCTAGAGGATGCGAAAAATCCTTTAGGGGTTCCATTTATTAGGTTTGAGAAGTGAGGACAACTTGATGTTAAGAATGCATTCCTCCATGGGGATTCATAAGAAGAAGTCTATATGGAGTTGGGCTTTGTTGCTCAAGGGGAGTCAATCAAAGTATGCATGTTATTTATGGCCTAAAGCAGTCGCCACGCGCATGGTTTGAGAAATTAAACGAGCTTACTATAGCATATGGGTTTAGCGAAGCCGTGTGGATCATTCAGTATTTATTCGAAAGCGAGCCACTAGAACTATTATCTTGGTTGTTTATTTTGATGATATTATTACAAACAATGATTAAGAAGGAATTCAGAAGTTGAAGAAATTTTCTTGAGATTGAAGTAGCTCGTTCACAATATGGAATTAGTCTATCCCAAAGGAAATATGTAACAAATTTACTAACAGGAACAGGGATTCTAGGGACTAAACCAATTAATACACCCATAGATCCACGTTCCAAATTTTCAGTGGACCAAGGAGACTTACTAGAAGATCCTGGCAGATATAAAAGACTTGTTAGTAGACTTCTCTACCTGACAATAACTAGACCAGATATAGCCTTTGGTGTGAGTGTAGTAAGTCAATTTATGCATTCACCCAAAACATCACATTGGGAAGCAATAAGAAGAATTTTGAGACACACGAAGGAAGGCCTAAGCCGAGGACTCACCTACAAGAAGAATGACCACTTTGACATTGACAGTTATTTTGATGCTGATTGGGCAGGATCACCTTCATCTACTACAGGTTACTGCACCTTTATAGGAAGAAACTTGGTGACTTTAAAAAGCAAGAAACAGAATCTAATGCAGAGGCTAAGTATAGAGCTATGCCTCGTACTTCATGTGAGTTAATACGGTTGAAAACCTTGATGCTGGAAATGGGTTTTTCAATTGCCAAACCAATGAAGATGTTCTATGGCTGGATGGTCATTCATATTGCGAGAAATCCAATTTTTCATGAAAGAAAAAAATATATTCAAGTATTTTGCCAATTCATTCTTGAGAAAATGACCAGCAAGCAAATAACAACCCCATATGTTAAAGTCATAAGATCAATTGGCTGATATATTCACCAAGGCGCTTTGTCGAAACCAGACTCAGCAGATTTGTTCCAAGTTGGGCATGGGTGACATTTGCTCCAGCTTGAGGGCGAGTGTTAAAGAATAACTTGTTTTGTATATTGGGGTATTTTTGGTATTTTTGTATACTTTAGGGTATTTATTGTCATTGAGGATTTTGTCCTTTGTAAACCCTAAATAAACATCAGAAATATCGATATTAGTGGGGCATGGATTGACTGAATCTCACATCACTCTCTCCTCTCTTTCTCTTTCATCTTTTTCTCTCTTATCTCTTCTTTTTCCTTTCTCTCTCTAGTTTTGACAGTTTTTACCCTTCACAGTACTGTTCATAGCACTGTTTATGGTACTGTTCATAGCACTGTCCACGGCATTGTTCACGACACTATTAACAGTAGCATTCACGAGTATTGTTCACACTAACAAATGACTCTGACAAGTCATGCACAGAAAAACAAATGTTTTGGAGTCTCAATTAGGTCAACAAAGATAAAATGAGCCTCCAAGATATCTCAATATGCCCCCAGCAAAGGATTGCCACGCCAGCACATATTAAAATTGTGTGTCATGTAACAAGGATTTGGGTTAGACCCTCCTTGCCAGCCTTTGACAAATACTCTTGCCTCTAGGGCTACCAACTTCGATTCTTGGAGAAGACAGGTTCCAAGTGTTTTTGGTATCCATAACATTAATATATGCAAATCTACATCCTAGGAGGCATTAGGACAACTCTTGCCCCGGTTCCCACTTAAAAGGGTATCATAGTACCAAACTGTTTTTTAACCCAAGGGCAACTTTTTCTGTTGGGTTTCACGCTATCTAGGCAAACACATGGGCAGACCATCAAGTTGTGTAGAGGACTCCCTAATGTAAGTTTCCTAGGGAAAACTGCATAGAACCTGAAAAATATGAAGTTCTACACGGCCGCGACTAAAGGCAGCTAGGCGGTACAGGCAGCAGAATTTCTGGCTACACCCACCTAGCACACACTGTGTAAGCCAGACCGCCCATGCTTCCACAGGTGGTCCCTTCAATAACAAGAATATGACCTTCATAACGAGTCTCGAGGTACGAGCTCTTGAAATTGGCATATGAGAATACAAACCTTCATTCGCATGAGTACCATTATGAATTCCAGCTGTGGATGGAAACAAGTCCAAGCTACACGCAAGCCATCTACATTTGTCTTCTTGTGTCGCCTTCATGAAGCTGTCCCCACAGCAAGGCTGACAGCACACCAGAGGTGTGATACAAAAGTGTGCAAGCACAGGCACGCATGCACACACACATAGTACATGTGAGAGTGACTGTGTGTGTGTGTGTGTGTGTGTGTGTGTGTGTGAGAGAGAGAGAGAGAAGCATCTCCTTTTCTTGTAATACCTTTGAATATTAAAATCTTTGCAGTTGACAGTAGTATCAAGTATTTCCTGCAACAACATTAACTTTCTCCATATAGTATAGTATTTCCCTTATTAGCATTTGACAAAGGGAAACAAGTGACCCTTTAGTTTAAAGTTATATGTTAGTCTGGAGATCTAACAGAGGCACTCTGCAAGTACAAACCCAATTATTAGCCATTAATTATGAGAAAATTGCATCACAAACTCCATATTGGAGATAGATACATCAGCCAACCTCACTTTAGCATATCTCTTCCAAATGACCAGAAACTGTGAGATGTCAAGGAATATGGCATCCACTTGCCGTTCTAGCCCAGCACTAGCAACATACAAATTACATACATACCCAAAGAAATAGTTTGGAATTCTTATCCAAAGACTAAATGTAAATTAGAAGCAAAAAGAACAAGTATTCACTTAGTTCCAAAAAATCTAGATTCCAAAAACCCGAGTCAGCAATGGAAAAGAACTGGATTTTAGCCTGTTTTACCAGCTATTTTGGAGTTCGAAAATAAGAACACTACTGATACCAAACCAATTAGTTCAACTTCAAGTAATCATGATAAACTGCATCACAAATATTAAATTTGAGACAGGCCCATCCCTTAAGGCTCACTGTTGCATAGCTCTTCTACAACTGACCTGGAAAATGTCCATGCCCTACGATACATGGATATTTGTGCACAGCACTACATGCTTAAAGTGCCGCTGTCATACTGTATCAACATTGATACTTAGATACTGTAGGATAAATGTATGTACAGATCTCATAATTGTAAAATACATAATGTGACAAAAGAATAATATTACGCATTATGATATGATATATGTGTGCGCATGCATCCAATATGGTATACATATGTATCAATGTATTGGATGCATCTAATTATGAAGTTTTAAACTCCAAAAATAGTTCAAATCAAGGATATCTATAAGCGCATGAACATCTTCAAAATGTACGGTCCAGATAATATGTTGCAAGATGTACTATTTTTAGGATTTGAAATCTCTTTTTTTCTTCATAGATATGCATCTCAAAATCTCTTTTTTTCTTCATTAGATGTTTTTCCAACATCAAAAATCCTTTATCGAAGTATTTTAGAGGTGGGTGTATAAACTTTTTCCATATACTTTATAAACTATAATATGTACTTCCAGATGTGTTAGATACGATATCCATATCCATATTGGTATCCTGGATTTTGAAAAATGCGGAGTTGTATCACCTATTTTCCATATCTGTACCCATATCTGGGCATCATCTTAGTATATGTCAAGAATTACGACATCAATGGACATGCAATGTAGCAGAGCACTAGCAACGAAAAAGTTGCACACCCCAATTACAATGGAGATCCAGAAAGTAAATGTAGATAAGCATCAAAAGAGAGAACTTGAGAAGTATCCACTCATATGAAGTTGACTACTGGCCTAATATGTGAGGAAAATCATCGATACAACAGGTTCAGTCATAGTAAAGACAAAGCTCTTTGACAAGCTCACTGGTCATAAAATGGAAGGTCAATCACAATAGAACATATGTATATCTCAGCAGTACACAAAGATTTAATGAAATGAACAAAAGAAGAGGACCCAAACATTCATAAAGTTGTGGTCATTCCGGGCATCTCGTTAACATTGAACTACTAAAAAGCTCATTTCATAAGTATTCATCAATCTAGCGAAGAATTAACTCACCCAACTCCCTTTGAACGTCTTGAATTTCGGTCCATGATAAGACGAACATCCCTTACCTGAGTACAACACAGACAATAATGTGAAAAGGATTATTTCTTCAGAATTACAGGGACATTTCAAAGTGACTTACAGAATGAAACACCCGACACAGATACTTCATAGTTTACATCATTGCACATTGCACCCATGAGAGGCAGCCTATATCATTGCCTGTCACGTTTAAGCGTCCATATTAAATTCAACAACTAGAAAGAACTTTGAAATGAAAAAGATCCATTCTTAAACTACAACCCATGCAAGGCAGAAGAACTAGTGTCAATGAAAAAAGCAAACAAATACCAATAATATACAACATACAGTGTTTCAACTGTTTCACAGGCAACGAGATATGATTCTACTTGAGAGAGAATATGGAAGACCATAATGCTAGGATAAAACTGACGAGAAAAAAAAATTCCACCGCCAACACTGATGTGAAGATTCCAACATCAGAGCAAACTGAGAAGTCAAATGCCCAATTACATGCAGACAACTTCTAAACAATAATTTCTTCAAAAAATCCTGCAGCATGCGGATACACCCCCATCATACTAACCTTGCCTGCCCTTGAAAAGAATTCATAAACATCCCTTTCATCAGCCTTCAAGCAAATCTGTCAAAAATATAGAGCAAACATTCAAAATGATATACATCACAAGGATAAACAATCCATCAAATGAATGGCAGATGTACAGTAAAGAAAAGTTAATGAAGGAAAGTGCCTGGTATGCAAAGACAGTTCTTTGATCTCGTTCAGGGTCAGCTTCAGGTTCTGGTTGTTCCTTCTTATCTTTGAAGTGCCTGCAAAAGAAAAAACACTTGATCAGTGCATCTGAAAAATCATAAAACTTGCCAGAACACAATCATGCCTTGTGATGGAATATTAAACCATCTGAGAAGATGATGAGGAACAAATTTCATAGCGAACAAAAACTTTATATATTATGAATCCCTAAAATTTATTCTTGAAAACAGCTGCAACATTCTGGCCCAACTGTAAAAAAGTCAATCCACATAATCCTGCAGAGAACTGAAAGAAGTTAACATGATACCACTAACAGCCAAAACGTGAAGCAACAGAAAAATAAATGAAAAATAAAAAAAAATGTCTTTTCTTTTATTTGACTTCTGAAGCACAAATTTTCAACTCTACGGATGGTGAAAAGATATTAAGTCCAAGAAATCATGTAAAGATATTTCTCCTTTTAAAGATACCAACAAACCATTGGAATGAATCTAGGAGACCTGAGATAACACAGACATAACTCATGCAAAGCACAACAAAGTTTGAGTTGCATCTGAAGATAATTCAGCAAATTGCTTCTCCATGTAAAACTTTTGTCTTATTTTGGTGCACAAATGCACACCGCAAAGTATAAAGAGTAATGTTAAGTCTCTTAGTGCCTGAAGAAACATCATAATCAAGAACACTATACTTCAAATATACTTCGAATAAATCATTAACCGGACTATGATGCAATAAGATGCATTATTTCATAGGCATTTACGAAACATATACCATCAAAATCAAATATAGAAAGGAAAACATTCACAAAGATTGCTAGCTACAAGTAAAGTTAGTGATATCTATTCCAGCAATCATTTGGAAAGGAAACTAAAACCGACCACCAAAAAGATCTAAAAATAAACAATATTATCAAGTAAAGGATTAGATGATACTAGTTCGAACTATTCATCTCATCACTTGGTGATGACAGCCATATGAGAAGTGGAAACATGTCACCAAAAGTACATTACCGACAAGGCATTAGGTCTCTATATTATAGATATGAAAAAGTAAAAAACTATTTACTGGAAGAAGAGTAAAATTTGGTAAATACGTGAAATTTCCTGAATTTGCTGGGGCAAAAATTTAAATATATGGAAGAAATTATTGACTATGTTAACATCTGACTATCTAAGATCCATCATTGACAACAGTGAAAAAACAGAATCTCTAGTGAAGGCATTGGTTGTCTATATAATACAACATCATCATCATCCAAGCCTCATCCCAACTATTTGGGGTCAGCGGGTATATATATATATATACAAAAAAACGCCTAATTACTGGCAGAAGAGTAGAATTTCGTAAATAGGCGAAATTTCCTGAAGTCGCCAAAGCAAAAAGTTAGATATATAGAAGAAATTGTTGACTACATTGACATCTACGATCTATCATGAGCCAAAGATCAGGATTTCACAAAACAAAAAATGCAACAATCTCCAAATAGCAGGAAATTGAAGTGGCAAAGGATGGAAAGGTTGGATATTGGATAAGAAGTGGAAAAAAACTGAAGATAAAAGCAATGCTAGCTGCATGGGGTAGAAAAAAGTAACATTTAAAAGATGTGACTTGGGAAGCTGTGGCTCTCACAAAGGCAACAGATTCCTAGACCAACATATGACCCACACCCTTCAAGCTATCCAAGACGACCTACACAAAAATTGGAATATACCATAAGCAACCCTCAAGACAATTAGGTGCTACGGATATTGTAATACATCTGGCATCAAAACATAAATGTGACTTGAAGTCATCAAAACATCCCCTTCTCTCACATTCATCAGAGACGAATATTTCCTGAAGCAAAGCCCAATCATTCCCACACCAGCACGTCTGCAACAGAATAGATACAGTTAAATCATTTCGAACAGCCGCATACCAAAATTACTATACCACTGAAACCCCCCATTTTGAAACCCCTACTTCCCCAATCAAAATTGGAATTGTCAGCTTCTAATAGATTATAACAGAGTATAGAATTCCCCAGCGAATTAATTCTTTAAGACCAAGACCTGGCTTCCTAAGTTTCACTTGCCAGAGACTGCCCATCTGAAGAATGCTCTACCACATCTCCCATTATCTAATATTCAATATTCAGAAAAGTGAAAGATGGACCATAGAAACAGTATGCTAAATGAAATGAAGGTATAACTCGGCAATCAAAAGTGCAGGAGTTCTCATATGTTAGCATAAGTAGTTATGTTCCATTGAAAACCATTAAAATTATTGGTGAAAAGGAATAAAAAATAAAAAATAAAAGCATAAAAGGCTATCCAAAGATTGACACCTTCCTAAAGTAGTTCCATCGACAATAAGAACTGCCTAAACCAGACTTTATGAACTTTTTCTAGTAGGCTAGTAGTGCAAGACATAAAAAAGGAAAAAGCAGAAAGACAAACTGCATTCATATTCTTCAAAAAATAATTGCACTAAAAAATGCAGTATGACTTTAGATGAGAATGTTTTGCAAAATGTTTGCGCAACTGCAAGGCACATCAAAGAGTATGAAATGACAGAAAACTTAAATGATGACAACTTCTAAAATAAGCAGGTTGTAACTGTAGTGAAATAATGCTTTTGGGACTATTGCAAAGAAAAAGGAATCATGAAACCAGTTGGGCAAATCAACTTTAAGAAGCAGGTACTTGTGAATTTCGTTTATCTTATCAAATGAATGCTCCCTTTCAAATAACCATCCAACTTCAAGAGAAACCCTGGAAATCAAAAATAACGAAGCAGGGCCAACTACCAAAGTAAAATTTGATTGCTCCAAAGAACAAATGTGAAATTTCTAAGCTACTTCACATTTTTTAAAGATTATGAAGCATACATCTGTTGCCATCAAAAACACATGGAAAAGTCATAGTTTGCGGACCCCATGACATAGGGTTAAATATTCCTGAAGCCACCATCTTGCATTGACTCGTAACTCCTGCGAGTCAACTAAGAGTCATTCAGACCAGTACTCAATTTAACAAATGAAACCAAATTAATAAGTTAGGAATGATAGGAAACACAAAAAGAGACCAAGTTCAACTAACAGTTAAAACGTGGAAGCTATGCATAATATCAGCCATATAGCAATTATTGTATCCTATGATACAGTAATGACCCCAATCATTTTGGCCACAAGAAACTTTGGATGTTTATGAAATCAACAAGCAATGGACACTGGTTCAAACATCGTTGGCAGTCCAAAATGAATTTCTAAACAACCCACTAGGCACATAATAGACAGACAATTGATGGCCCTAACATGGCTTTAAGCTGTCATGTTTGATTGAGGGAAAGGATGTTAACAAATTGGCAATGTAGGAAACAGACAGAGTCAAACTCTCTAGGGAAGTGTGTGCCAAGAACGGCCAATACAGGAAAGGCCAATTGTAGTATCTCATCCAGAAGACCAGAGAAATGCCAAGGATAGGGTAATCTCTAGAGGCCCATCTAATTGCATGGAGCAAGTCACCTCTGAGTAAGAACACTCCTAAGAGATCTTGTATAAGCAGCCAGCCTTGACCAGTCAGAAGTGCCAATGATACTGCTACATTCAAGACACATATGTTTGCTACATCCTGCACCAAGCAGTCCCTAAAAACCCGTCCTGCCCTAACCTCCTCGAACAACGTCAAAGTTGAATTTAATCAAACTTGGAGGATGACAAGTCCAAGAGGCTTCAATCTGTAATGCCTAACAAAGTGTTTGGCAACTATAATCCAAAGTTCTAAGGATCGGGAGCCGGATGGAGACTGGGGGCTCGTGAAAGGCTGGAAGATCCCTATGGTTGGGAGCGTCATCTGTACAATGCATATGTTAGGGATCGAATCCCAAATGTTAGGGATCTCAATCCCGACCTTTTGGGATATCAATCCCAGTAATTTGAGGTTCTTGCTCCCCACTTTAAAGAGTATACATATGTAGAACTATTGTCACTGGAAACCCACTCGTCTCTCCACTAGATGTCCGCACACTAGTTAGCGCTCCCTCGTTCATATCTCTCACCAAGTTGATATAGTTATCTAGAGACTCCTTTCTTTTCCAACACCCACCAAATTAAATCTTGAGGTACTCTATCATAAGCTTTTTCTAGATCAATAAAGACCATGTGAAGGTCCTTTTCCTTCACCTTAAACTTCTCAATAAGTTGCCTAAGTAGGATAATAGCCTCAATCGTTGGCTTAAAACCAAATTGATTTTTTGATATACTTGTTTCATGCCTTGGTCGTTGCTCAATCACTCTCTCCCACAGCTTCATAGTGTGGCTCATAAGTTTGATAGTTCGCACAATATCTCTGAGCCCTTCACACATGGAATACAATGTGTGAAGATTCATATTACTTATTTCCTCCCAGATGCCTCAAAAGGATATCTAGGAGGCATAATTTCCACAAAAGGCTCGCATTTGGCAATAGTATAGGGTCTCTAAAAGAGGCTAGCACAACCCAATAAAACCCCGAAGCTTTAAACGTTTTTATCTTATTTCATTTTATTTTTGTTAAACCTTCAACATTTCACTCTTCATAACCTCAACAAGGGACAGGATTATGGCTCTTATAGAGTCTGCTCCAACTTTCTAGAACTACTGCTAAAGCTATATTTGAACAAGTTCATGATGTGCAAAGAAGCAAGGATGGATTTAAGTACACCAACTAGTGTTCCACAACATGGTGATTCTTCCATTCAAGCTCAACAAACCCGTTCTTTTCTAGAGTGCAATAACAAGGCCGTTGCTGCATTGTACCAACTATAGAAAGTTGATTTTTTAAGTTCATGAAATATATTCCCTCCATAAATTCATTGTGAAAATTTAATCTACATCTCAAATAAATTTTATATTGTCATATGAACCAGTTGAAATCCAATTAATGCTTGTGTATTACATTTCACGATAATTTGTGTTTGGGTCTATAGATAGAATATAATTGGCTCTCTTCTATTTCGAAGAGTCTAAATGTATTACATCTACATGAGATACAGTGTTAAGTGTTAACTAGAAATCAGTTTAGTATAAAAGTACAAAGGTGCTACCATGTTAGAGTTTCTAAAGTTGTCAGTTTAGACATGCATCTTGTGTTAGATATAGACACCCACGTCCATGAAACACAAGTTTGTGCATACTTAGTGACGGACTCATAAGATGGCGGGATACTCGTACTCAATGTCCAAGAAACAAAAATAAGCAGTTCACCTCACCTCAAACTTTGCATTCACTTCCAATCTAGTTTCATAGAGTGTTGATGTCCAAGACATCAAGCCATCCTGGATGAGTACTAGATGACCCCTTACCACAAATGTAGCAATGGCAAACTGTGAACTGAAGACAGATGATGGTTCCCAATTGTAAATGTTCTTTCTCTTGTGATCTTCTGAAAAGTTAAATAGCAAAGTATGACTGAAATTGCATTTCAGCAACAAAATATTGAGATTGAATTGTGGGCCTCACACAGAAAAAATTTACTTTGGGATGCAAAAGTTGACATAACTACATGCCAACTTTGAATAACATCAATATCTCTCTTCAAGGCAAACATAACGTCTCAACAGCTCGCATTAAGTGTTATGTGTAATCACAGTGATTCACATAAAATCCTCATGATCATGCATCCCTTGCATAAAGTGTATCAAGATATCAATAACCAATAAAGCAAAAGAAGTATCGGGATGTACTAATATTGATCTTTCATAGAAGACTATTTAAAATCTCAATATTGCAGAACTCTTGGGTGCTTCCTACAAGAAATCTGAGGGCTTTACACATGTCCCAAAACTGCCCATTACCTGCCATGATTGTTCTTTTTGATAATATCCCATGATATGATTCTTGAATATGTAAAAATAAACCCATTTGTTCTATAATAACTATCAAATGAATTAGGAGGAATAAATCTATCTGTACCAAAGGAAATAGTAGGCAAACAAAGAAGGATGCAGGGAAACGAAGGCGAACTCATATGTACAAAAGAATAGCAGCATCAATATTTCAATACAACTAACATAAAAGAGATAAATGGTACCTGCTGTCTCTATCTCTTATGTCCTTATCCTTGTCTCTTTCTGTCAACTCTTTTTCTCGTTCAGCCTCCCTATCACGATCACGGTGCTTTCCAGAATTGCTGCTGCTTCTGCGTGATCTCTCTTGCTCACTCTCCCTCTCCCTTTCCCCTTCACGATCACGTTCCTTGTATATATCTCTCCCCCTCTCACTATCCTTCTCTCTTCCATTTCTGTCCTCCCTGACTCTGCCTCTCCCTCTATCTCTATTTCTGTCTCTTTCCCAAGCTCTATCTCTATCCCTTGAGCTTCGGTCAGAATGCTCTTTGCTGCTCCTCTTCCTATCTTTCTCATCTCGGCCTTTTTCTCTCTCCCTATCTTTCTCATCTCGGCCTTTTTCTCTCTCCCTATCTTTCTCATCTCGGCCTTTTTCTCTCTCCCTATCTCTCTCATCTCGGCCTTTTTCTCTCTCCCTATCTCTCTCAAATCTGTGTCGCTCACGCTCACGCTCATCATCACGAGAAGACCTTCCATTCTCATGCGATCCTTCCTCTGATCTCGCCCTCTTAGTAGACCTAAGCTCAGTTTCTCGGCCACTCTCATCTTCCCGGCCCCTTGAGTTTTTGCAGTCCCCATCACCTCCTGACTTTATGACTTCTCCATTAAGAGATTTCTTTGACAATTCAGGGTTCTCAACAGTTTTTTCTAGGTACTCATACTCATCAAAATCCATGGTAGCAACTTTGGGGATGACTTTGCTGCTGCCCTTTGCCTAAATTCAACATTCACTATCATTTTTCAAGGAAAATCCAATTATCAAAACCAGTGTGGCAGGACTCGCCTGGGGCAAGGTAATTGGCTCTGGGCTGAGCCAAGTATCTCAGCCAAGTCCATATATGTACACCAAGAAGAATTGTTAAAAAATAAACAAAGTTAAAAATATGATAAAAATAGATAAAAGCAGAAAAAAATAAAAGAAGCGATATAAATCACTAAAAAAACTATAAAAGATCAAAAAATACATAAACAATGGATTTTTTAAAATTTTAATTTATACCATGAATCATTCGGAAAAAATAAAAAATAAAGGAAAACAATTTTGGATCATGTGATAAGAAAAGTCCTTTTGTTTTTTTTTTTTTTGAGAAATGTTAACGTCATGTGATAAGACAAGTTCTCCAAATCATCTCAAAACCCATCAAATTCATCTAAAAACATATTTCTAATTATTTTTTTTACTTATTTTATATTTTTAACGTCTCTTTTGGTGCTCTGGCGAGTTGCCGTGGAACTCGCCCCTATTCGGGTCCTGCTACACTGATCAAAAGAGTAACACAAAGTATTTTACTTTAACAAACTGAGCTTGTGAGAACAGTAATATAAATGCAACATAGAAACAACTTGATGAAATAATCTCATATGAAGGACACCTCTGAAGCATCTCATACAAAAATCTATCGAGAAACCCCAAACAGAAACGAAATCAAGTTGGTCACCAAATTCGTTTTCATCAAATCAGAAATGACAGAGACAATGGAACTAATCAAAACTAGAAGAATTCAAGCTTCAAATCCCTAATTAAAGATACTACATTATTTTGATACTTACGAGAAAACCCAAAAAAAAAAAAAATTGGGGGCAGGGTGGTGTTAAAAAACGGCAGAGCACATAATGAAGAGAGAGAGAGAGAGAGAGAGATAGAGAGAGGAGTTTCTTTGTACCTGAGGAATGAAATTTGGAATGAAGCGGAGTAAGGGCTGGAAGAGAAAGAAGAGCAGCCGGTCCACGAAACCGACTCAGCCTGCGATTCAGATGAAGACAATATCTATCGAGTAAGCTTTCCGTCCGTCGCCTACTACATAAAACTCATATCGTTCTCCTATACTTCTCCCTGCCCAACCGTCCAATCTGAATGGACGGTTGAGATGGCCTCAATCACAATCCCACGTCATTACATTATTTTATTTTTAATATTTTTCTACAAATTATTTTGATATTAAATTTTGAGGGTGCACTCCTCTTTTAAACTTGCCCCGGTAAAAAATATAAAACAACATAGTTTCAATAAAATAGAATGATCAAAATATCTTTAATATTTTTAAAATATTTAAAAAGTATTTTGATCGTTATACTTTATCGAAAAAAAAATTTTAATAATCTTTTTAAGTGCGTCCCATTGATAAGATGGCATCACTACATTATTTTATTTTTAATATTTTCTATAAATTATTTTGATACTAAATTTTGAGGGTCTACTTCTCTCTTAAACTTGCCCTTGTAAAAAATATGGAAGAAAATATTCTCAATAAAATAAAATGACTAAAATATCTTTAAAATATTTAAAGAGGATTTTGATCATTATATTTTATCGAAAAATTCTTTTTAATATTCTTTTTAGGTGCATCCCATTGATATGGCACATTGCCATATTTTTTTATACAATTTGTATAAAAAAACTAAAAATAAAATATTCTGGGAGTCGGATCTAGATCAAACGATCAGTGGCTCACTTGATCAAAATTGGACGGCTGGATGGGGAAGTATAAGTATAGAAACCTTTCCCATATACAAAAGCCTTGCAAAGTTGAATTTTGGAGCCTGAGAGCCCCTCTATAGGGTAAGACTTCATTACATGCTTTTTTCTTTAATAAAATAAAATAAATTATATTGTCAAACATCCTCAATAATAAGAAGGAAGTTTACATAAAGGTGAGGCCCTAAACAATCAAATTAAGTCGTACCTTAAAAATTTATTGAAAGAGGTTATTTTAATGCTAAAAATCTTTCAAATTCGATCTTCTCGACCTCAAGATGTATGGACCTGAGAAAAAATAGATTTTAAGTCTTAGTACTACAACATTTTAAAATTTTATAATTAGAGATGAAAAAAATTTAAGGCCATTGTAAATATTGATGATACTGAAACAAAATATTTCCGCATTATTTGAAGGTTTTGTACGTTAGTTTGATTGTTTAGGACCTCGGCCATAACAATTTTATTGTACGTTAGTTTGATTCATTAGGACCTCGGCCTTAACAATTTTATTGACACAGTGGTTCCGTTTTAAACTTCGAGTTAGGTACTTACTAATATTTTCCTTGACTAAATAACCTAAATATCTTAATTTATTATGAGTTTTAAAATATTGAGTATATTTTAGATTAAAAATGGTGCTGGGTTTAGAAATGAGCATTTAAGCCATTTGAGCCAAAGATATTTTTAGCTCTATTTATTTTAGACTCTACGTAAAAATATGTTAGTTTAATAAAAAATTTGCTTCAATATATTTTTAGAACACGTACAATTTATTTCTCTTGGTTAGAAGAGCTACTTGGAAGGATTCTTTTAATATGAAATTCTCGGACCCACTTAAAAACTAGTACATGATTAGTCTCAATAAAAACATTGAAATTTTGAGTTTGCTAACACTTAGATCTCAACATCTAAAAATGGTATGATTTCTATCTAATCTCAAGAAATAACTTTTTTTAAGTGCATAAAAGGTACAATTAGGGGGGAAAAAAATTTGTTGAGGTTAATTTATGGGTTGAAGAAGTTATATCCCCAAAATTGGGATCCTAAAATTGATTCTAGGTGCGATTTTACTCAAGGGAGTAAATGGACTTTCGACTTACTTAGGAGTAGACTATTTTTTGGCTATTTTTAAAATCTAGAACATGCACTCAATTTGAAATCCAAAAGAAACAAGAGTATTTAAGTCATTTAGCTTAAGTAACCTAAGTGGCTCAATCACCAAAATATTGTGATATCTTTGGTCCAAATTTAAAATAATGGATATTTTGGTAAATGATTTTTAACAATAACTATTTTATTGGTTGTCAGTTAATTTAACCACCTCATTAATTTGATATATTGATATTTTCGTATTTGTGTTATCAATATTTAATAAAAGCCTTTAATTTAATATTTAAAATTTTGTTTGATTTAATCTTAGTCCTTAAATTTATGTAGTTATTCGCGTATGGTTGGGCATACGATGAATTCTAACTTTTATTTACTCTATTTCCTTTTTATTTTTTAAAATATAAGCAATATCACATTTTCCAAATTTTGTCAATTTTTAGTTACGATTATAATTATTTGAAACATGGTTTATAATGGTTATTTTTAGATTTTTCTCTCACTTTTCAAAGCAGGAACTTTATTTCTTTGAACGTCCAAGTATCAGATAAATTCGTGATTTTAAGAATTTCTTTAATTTTTTTATATTCAAGTAAAATAGAATATTGCACCAATATTCCAAGAGATACCAAGATGCTGGGGGGTTCTTGACCACCCAACACCGGGCGGCCGCCTGGCCAACTCAAGTGGAAGAATATAGGAAGGAGGTGTCTGATCCAACTATTTTAGGTCCAAATTATGTGTATAAAATGCATATTGAGGCATAACACATGAAGACTGCATAATACAATAGTCCATCCATAGTCCATACACTTCATACTATTTGTCGATACTCCATGCACATAGTAAAAAAATGCATATTGAGGTCCAAAGTATTTGAAGTCTGGAAAATTAGTTACTAATAGATTAAGAAAAATAGGAAAATATAATCCAAAAGTCAAATTCACTATTAGACATAACACAAGTCCATATAGTCGATAGTCCATATGCTCCATATACTCCATAGTCCATATGCATAAGAGGAGGAAAAAAAAAAGAAAGAAATATAGACTTGAAGACTCAAGTCTTTAGCCATCATCAGGAAAAGTAGGATTGAATGTATCATATGCATCGGAGTCAGGGTCATCATCATCAGAATCATCTCCCTCCTCAATATAACGCTATGCAATGGAGTCGAGCTCATTATCATCGGAATCATCTCCCTCCTCAACATAACGCTCATTTTCTTCTGTTTATTCTGAATCTGTCCCCTCTTCCCCTCCCCCCCAAGTCCACCCATCCTTTGTGAAGATTATCTAGTTGTCCGCCCGTCCTTTGTGAAGATTATCTAGTGGTCCTAGGAGGGTCAACTGTTGTACTTGAAGCCTCCATAACCATATTCCATATCAGCCTGTCGTGCCTCTTGACCTCATCATTAACAACCAACCACTTCATGGCATTCTTCATGTTTTTGTTCTAATGGGGTCTCTTTTTTTTGCTTAGTAAATCTTCCCTTCAAGAATCATGTGAGTAAATCTTCTCTTCAAGAAATCGAACAAATTCTACATAAACTAAAGTCATTTAGCCTATTTGATTCAAGCTTGTTTCTTTAATTTATATGAAAACTTACAAACATATACAATAAAAATGAAACATTAATATTAGAATTTACATAGTAATAAGTAATTAACAATACCAATTAGTAAATTATAAACTAATAAAATAATTTAATCGTTCACATTAAACTTAAGTAGTATAGAACATTAGTAACAAACATATAATCCCAATAATACTCCAATTTCACTCACAATTGGACAACATAGCGATTAACCATCTTTTCTAAGTTTGAAGCACTAAACCTATGTTAGGTCCACCAATTGACTACGAATTTATTATGAATTACAATTATATATGAAATATAAAAAAAACAAACAACAAACATGAAACTTGAATTTGAAGACCGGGTTCAGCATATTGTTACCATGATCAACTTTGATTCTTTGCCTTATTGCCATTGCACTCCAAAAGACTTCAATGTGTACTTGTAATTTATTCGTTCATCCATATAATGTCTTGGATTTCCTAATTAAAGACTAGCACATCCAGACACTTATTAAATCCAATCATAGTTGTGTCATTTGTTGTATACCATTATCAGCATAAAAAAAAAAAGGTTGGGTTCAACCAAATGCATGCAATAGATAGTATCACTACCTATCCCACTTCTCATCAATAATCTTTGAAACTTGCTCATAGTGGCTCTCGTCATATCCAAATTATGGGCTCTCTTTCTTGCAACTTTCCATTGCCTCATATATGAAGCCCATGGAGGGCTCATCACTGTCAATCATACGCAGGACTGGGACAACGGAAAAAATACCTTAAAAGCATCCTTCACCCCACCAAAAAAGTCTAAGATAAGATAATATCTCTCACTGAGTTCCCTTTCTGACACTTCACCCACTTGCATGCACTCCAATTATCATAAGTGAACAACTGCCTCAATTGGACTTCCCTCGAATGTAGGCTATCTAAACATAGAACCTGGGAGCAAATCTTGTGATCCTCAACCCTATTATCTACTTCTGCTTTATAAACATGTGCATCATTGAGGGTGAGGATGTGGCTATAGATGTAGGCTGTAATTGACTTAGCTTTCCTAATTGTGCCTACAATGTTGTTCATACCTCCAAAAGGCTCAATCATGAGGTTTATGTAGTGTGCATGCATGATGTCCAAAAGATATGAGGGTAGTCATGTGCAACAAATTAGAGGCAAAAACATTAAGAGCAGCATTATTTGTGACAACCTGAATAACATATTGCTCCCCATCCTAGATGGTGTTAACCAACATTTTGCATTATGTATATCGTTAGAGGCATAAATAAACTTCAAAAAGTAGTCCTCAAAAGACAATTCACCAACAAATTCATACGACTTCTTCTCTTCTTGTCACTCTAAGGACCCCCCATACTGAGCCCATGTATTTTTTTGCGCGTCCACAATCTCCCTCGTGATACGCACCTCTTTTTTCAAAAGAGGTTTTGAAACTCATAAAAGATTGGGGGCTTCAACCCAAACGCAGCTTGCCCAATTACCTCTGTCAAGGTGTAGAACCTACTAAGACAAGAGGCATTTAAAGGAATGCCCGCTTCATAAGCCCATCGAGTAATATACTAAGCAACTCTCTCTCTCTCTCTCTCTCACTCTCCTCTTTGAT